CAATGTTTTGTAAGTGGGTTAGATGCTACTAACCGCAACAAACGTGACCTGATGGTTTTGGTAGAATATTTGATAATAAGTAGTATGTGAATGACTGGACTGGACTGGCTCTGAAAGAGCTGTCTATCCAATGGTCACCCGGTGTTTATATATATATATAGAGGCAATCTCCCGCAGTCGCATTTTTAATTATTCCACTATTTTAGCAAACCCGAACCAACCTTATGGGCAATGACGCATATCCTGATTATGTTAGATCTCCCAATGATATGTCGCGACTCCTGGTACTTCTCCACTTAGTCGTTCACCGATGCGTGTATGCAACTCAGCGTCTCACGGAGCGACACGAAGACAACACTGCTCACTGGTTGGACAACCCTTGTGAGGAACGCACACGGATGTTAGCACTTCTATACTGCGGTATTTGATATGACAATGTACAGGCGCCTTTCTATCTGTCTCTGTTGGGACTCAGAAAAATCAAAGCACAAGAAATGCTTCCAAAGTTTGGTTTCGGTCTTAGTCAAACTGTTGTGGCGACCAATCTTACAAATTAGGAGACAGGGAATGCTATCACGCATGTCATTTTCTAGGTTTGAGCTGAAAGTTTGATTGTCTAACGTAATCGTGTGATTTTCGAATGGGCTACCGGAATTACTTTACGGATACGCCGATAATATTTTGAATGTTATTGAAACAACTGAGGACAATAATCAGCTGTGAGAATGAACAGGGAGTCCAGAGGACCAATGGTGGCTGGCACTAATAAATAGAAAGAAAGAGTGAAACTGTTACTTTGTGAGAACATGACTCAGGAAAAGCTTTCATTGCTAGTTGGTAAATTTCTAAATCTTCAATATTTCCATGGTATAGATGATAAAATTTTGGAGTGCAATTACGATTCTGAAAAACACGCATAGAACTCTGCGTTATTCACAACTTGGTCGTCCGATGACGGGGGCAAGGATTCTTAAGGACACTTCGTTATACTTTTTTTTTACAGAGGACACCACTTTTTATAGCAAAGCTGCAACATTCAAGAATGTCAATTTAGGATACCGGCCTGCCAACCAATCAGTGTTAAAACCCACAGATGAAAGGGATGTTGTTTTGTAGATGTTCTTTCGGAAAATATATAATAGAATAGGTACAATAGGTACCTAATAAAAGATGCTAAAGCTGAAATGAATATTCTCATAGAAATGCATCTGACCAAAAACGTTTGAACGCCTGTTCATCTCAAAGCGCTGATCAGCGGTTGCATGAAAGCTGGATTCAAACCCACAGAGAGTAAGGTGATAATACAGCCAACTGAGAAAAAATGCGAACTAACTGAAAGTTGTACACACAGTATCTATTGATGATCACCACTGTGAAGAACAAACGGCCTGTTTGGAACCTGACGAAAACGAAGTGCGTTGTACTGCATGAAATCTCGTTTTCGTTTTTGGGTCAACGTGGTACGAATCAATCGCTTAGACGAAGATGAATGCGAAACCGTAGATGCACCGAACGGTATCTCGATAAGAGAAGCACATAACCTATTGAATCAAATTAAGCTGTTTACATCATCACATGCTGGAACTCTGGGTGAATTTACAGTTTTCCTGGGAAAACCATGGGATACTAAACAATAGAACGATGAAGGCGAGAGAGTGCGCGATAAGATTTTAGGGACACTGGAACACAGTGAACCCATATGATATGGCGACTTGTATCGTTAAAAAACACGATATACAAAGTGAGCAATGGGTTCTAGTAACCTGTAATGAGATGTATTGAAGCTGAAACACTACATATTCCTAGTAAAACGAAGATAACTTTTGATTCCGTTTTTCCACTTTGGATGAAAGGGTTTTCAAGATTTAAATAACGATCAAATGTTTTATTGCAATGGAACTAGGCTGTGTACGTCATAAAAGATTTCAGTCTTCCAGATACATCAAAAACAGACTGAGACGGTATGCTTAGAATTCAGCCTTAGCTGAAGTGGTTATCTAAATACAATGAAACGGAAAATACGGTAATGAACAAGCTCATTTGAAAGACAATGGAAGAAGTGCCGAGTCAAGCCGCTTATATCTTTCGCGTGTTTTGCCACAAGTATCCCATAAATTTTTTTCATACTGTTCCGAAGCGTATGCCGCTGATTAACGTGATGTGCTCGCCTAGGGCGCAACATAGCACATTGGCTGAAAAACGCTCGAATAAATTTCATGTAACCAAATGGCCTACTTCTAATTGTTAAGTAGTGATTATCAATCTAGGAAATCCTTACAGCCGTTCTGAACACCGCATATTGCAACACTGGCGTGCAATTAGATTGGTTAACTGCTATTGTGTAGTTGTAAGTTATCAGAAACACACGTGGACTCCAAATGTTCATACAAACCGGTCACAGAGTTGCCGTAGTGATCTGAAACGCGACTAAGTGAATGTATAGTAATCGACAGACCGACCGCTTAACGGAGATCAGTTTATCATTTGGTACTCGCATTTCAATGTGACCAGACAGATTACCGAGCTCTAGGCCCAGTCGGTGGGCGGCTTTTTTCCCATCAGACCGAGATGAACCAAATGAAAATTAATGAACTTCGATAAGATATTTGACATTATGCAAAAGGTTGATGAACTATATGAGTTGAACCACGAACACCAAAGGCAACTGTGTATGACATCCAGCGGTCGAGACATAAATCAAATGAAGGAAAAACCGTACCGATCGATTTTTGCGTTATAATTAAGTAAAGCGATCTACGGTATGCTTCACAAACAACTAATGTGAAACTGACATTGCTAGTACTAAAAGCGTCGACCCAAATTGCACACTTCAAGTGCTAAACATACACGCAGCGAACAATATTCACATAAGTCTTCGAAACATATAAACTAATATAGTCACAAACCAAAAAAACATTCACCAGTGTTCCTCATGCTCTCCATTGGGGTAAACTGCCGTTACAGCCAAGATCAACCGCTAGCAAAATCGACAGCGTCATCATAATTATTATTGGACAGTGAAATGCAAAGAAAGAATTCACTGAGCGCTGCCAAACGCGCAAGGCATACAAAGTAAGTGGGAATATTTAAGGTGAACGATAGTTGGATTCATCTGGAGGGAGACGGAAAGAAAGTGAATCTCTATGGTTAACATAGAATGCATAGTCTGACTGCGAATACACACATTTCAAGCACTCAGGCCTTATCGAAATGACAACAAAAACAACATTGTTATCGGTCTCCTGCCTTGAACTGGGTAATCTGGCAGTATTGGGCAACATGCGAATCGCGGAACGTTTGTTTTTATAAAGATTATTGTACCGTGATTTGTTTGGCACTCGCGTAAATTTAAGGCCCCGCAACCGTACAGCAGAACTGACCGCACACCGGCGCACCATATATGACCTTTCAGTTTCAACGAAACATCGCGTCTGCACCAAAGGTGTTTCTGTTGACCTCCACGTGCTTTTCTCCAGCCCGGATTAGCTACAGCGAATAAAGCGCGGTGCGGCAGACGACAGCTGGACATACGCAATACGTACCCTAGCCACCGAAGTCTACTAATCTGAACTCGGTGTGCCAGCAG